CCTGCTGACTTTACTCTTCTGTAGTTGGCTTTCAGCTCAGTTGTGCGTTATTAAGAGTCGTGTCAATTCGAGTGCCATTCTGGGGATAGATACTGAAGCCGTCGGGCAGTGAGAGGGAGGGATGGGGCCGCGTGCCGCTGAGCGGGGCCAGGCTGTGAACTGCGAGCTGAGCGAGCTGCTTGCCGAAACGCCAGCCTCGCGTGCGGCTGAGCCCCGGCTCTGCACACCCACGGTGCAGATCTCCAGCGGCAACGCCGGCAGGGACAGCGGTAGCGAGCAAAGCGTAACGAACTTGGGGGCTGACAGGTGCTGTTGCCGAGACAAGTGAAAATGTGTACCCATCGCTGCGCTGGCCGGTAAGAGCACGCAGGGTAATTGCCTCCAGCTATTGACGGAGCAAGAGACAAATGCTGATATCTAATGCCAGGCAAATACTGCTGCAGCGAAGCTGTTGGCTCGGGTGCCGTGGCTTCTGTTTGAATGGAAAGGTGCCCGTCAGCACAAGGTTGGTGTTTTGTCTCCAGCTGTGTCCTGGTGCTTCAGCGAGGTATGACTGGCAGAAAAATGCGGAGATTAAACTGGAGTTTAGCATGTCCTCTGGAGTCAAACAGTCACTGCAGAAGGCAGGCCTTGCAAAGCTTTATGTGAAGCTTTAGAAGATTCAATTTAGAAAGCTTCGTTAGGAGCAGGAGGTTCACTCGGTGTCAGGAAGGGACAAATGCTGAGTCTAGCACAGAATAAAGGTTCTTCCTTTGGGTTAAATAGCCCATATGTTGCTATCATCGCACTGGGACGTGTGGTATCATAACAGGAGTCGAGTTATTCCAGGTTCGGCTGAAGGCCAGACCGCACCACAGCAGCACAGGGAGTGTGAGGTGAGCTGCTGTCCTTGAGGATGCCAAGCTACGGGTGACACTTGGCCTTCCAGGAAGGTTCATTACCTCTGCTCTCAGCGGGATGGGGAGCAGGGCAGGAGCTGGCCTGCTGCTGGCCGTGGGACCCACGTATGGGAGCAGCAGTCTGCTCCAGCTCTGTCTTCACCAGGCACCACGGCTGGCCTTGCCTGCTCTCGTGTCTGTGCTGACCCAGGCTGCATTCCCCGTCAGTAGAAGTGTTGATATTACACGCCAAGGAGGGGAATGGCAGCCGTAAAATGCTGTGTTGGTAAATGTCAGGGGTGCACAAAGAAGTGCTAAGTTGCAGGAGGATGTTTCTTGGTGAGGTGGGAATGGTTTAGCATGCTGACTGCTGCACTGAAGGGGCCTGTCAGCTGCTCAGCTTCATTAAGCCGTTAGGGAACGGCTTTGAAATTACTATTAATAGCCTATACAAAATGACTTGAAATTTATTTGGAATAACTGAAATATTGTTTGAAATGTGAGTTTAGATTCTCTGCTGAGCTGAGGCCTCCCCTGCTCTGCCACACTTTCACGTTGTACCTCTGGAGGAGCGGGAAGGGGGCTGTCTGGGTAGGAAGGGGCTTGTGCCGATGGCCAGGAAGCTCCGGAACGTCTGGTGAGAAAACGGACCCAGCCAAGAGTGGGATGAGCATTTTGAGGATGCCTTGGATTGCTGTTTACTGTATCTTTTTCTACAAGAATAAACAGGCATGTGATAAAAATAAGAGACTGCTTCATGCAGCCTAGCAACAACTCGACGTTCTCCTGCAGCACCAGCAGATGCCCAGCAGCAGAATACAGGTAGTCCTGGCCAGGCGGGCGCAGGAGTGGTGTTTCACCTCCCAAGCTGCAGAGAGAAGAGAGGTTTCTGCGATAGAGTGAATTTTGAGTTCTCCTCTGTTTGCAGGAAACCCCTTCGTCCTGGCTCGTGCTGCAGCGTTGGCGTGGGTTCAGGCTTGGAGACGCGTCGTGCAGCGAGGCTGCGCAGGAGATGCCTTTCCTTCCAGACCGAGCGTGCCGGGGCTCAAAGCGCAGGGGTGGCTGCTCCTTGAGCCTGAGCCCACCTCCTACGCCCGCTCCCACCACCCGCCCTTCCCTGTGCTGCCTCTGTTCTTGTCGGCCCCGCTCATAATTAATTCCGTGCACTGGCTTGCTGGAAAACTCTTTGTTTCCACAGGATCACAGCATGGTAGGGGTTGGAAGGGACCTCTGTGGGTCAGCCCGCTGGCGAAGCAGGGTCACCTACAGCAGGCTGCACAGGACCTTGTCCAGGCGGGTCTTGAATATCTCCAGAGAAGGAGAATCCACAACCTCTCTGGGCAACCTGTTCCAGTGCTCCATCACCCTTAAAGGTTCTAATCTGGTTGCTTCTCTGCCAGGATAGCAAATGCGTTGGTTCAGTGGCAGAGTGGGATGCGCTGAGGCTGGTGCCAGCACGGGAGCCCTGGGGGAGCAGCGAGCTGTGGCAGCTCAGGTACTGTCATACCTTTCACGCGAGCGTGGAGATGATGGTGGTTGCGGAGCATGGAGCTGGTTGTACGGTGTCAATCAATCAGATGCTCTGATAGCAAATCCCCAGTCACTAGAAACTGAGCTTTGGCAATTGTGCTTTGCTGTAAGAGTTTCTCCCTCCGTCTACATAAAATCCAACTTTAAACTCGGTGCTCCTGCCTGCTGGCAAAGTTCCTCTCGTTGCTCCAGAACAGAAGGTGGTCATCGTGCAGGCTGGCGTACAGACTGTGTCCTGCGCTGGAGCCCGCGTCGTTGTTTGTCATCTGCGGGTTTGATGGAGCTTTCAATGGGCGTGAGGGCTGAATCCCAATACTCGCACAGATCCTGAGTAAGCTCTGAGGCTAAAAATAAAGTTTTATTTTGGAGAATAAGCAGCTGGTAGCGCTTTGCAGCTGAGGCTGTGTTTCTTGACACATGCAAAGAACTGAAAGAATGAAGCATTTTTCTCTGGGCTGTCGCAGCAACAGAGATGCTATCACATCAGAGCTGCTAATGCTTTGAGATGAAGTTTTATTCTGGAGACTAAATTACACAGGGGGATTATAACCATTTCTAATTACTGTAGCTAAAGACCTGAAATTTTAGCCAGAAGTTCTGCAGTCTTTCACAGTTCAGAGTGATTAAAGTAGAAGTACTCTAATGATCTTTTGCCTCTGTTTTTGTTTGGGTGTGAAAAAGTGTTCTTCTCACTTTGATTAGAAATAATTAGGCTTTTTGACAGTGGATAGAATTTGCCTTTGTGACCTGGGCGCCCATGTCTGAGCAGTATGGGTGGTCTGTGCTTGTCGCTCCTGCAGCCGTGCAGTGGCTGAGCGGGGTGGGGTGGCACTGGTGGGTGCTTGGGTGGTCCCAGTGGGTTTGCATTGGGCTGGAGGTGTTCAGCCTGTTTCAGGACTGAACAGCGTGAAGGTCATCTTGGTCAGAAGTGGGCAAGCAGTAGGGAGAAGTCTGAGAGCCCACGTCTGCTCTGGAGTGATGTGGCTGTGCCTCTGTTCTCCTAGGAGGAAGGGCAAGGTGAGGGGGAGGTTGGCACGAAGAGATGTGCCATTTTCTTCTAGGTCTTTGGAGAGGTACTTGCCCAGAACTGATAGACACAGTCTGGTTTTCAGCTTCCCCGTGGGGCTGCAGTGTCTGCCAGGTCATTTGCACCCCTGCTTTCCAGCGCCGGTCTGGCCATGAGATTTCACTGTGCTGCGCGTGCAGTTATATTGCAGTTTTACTGATCAGATCTGCGATTTTTCGGGCTGCCTGCTGTATGGTTTTTGAATGCTTTTCGTCAGAAGATGGCTAGACTTCCTTCCCTGGTCTTCATCTGGAAGATGATCAACTTCTCGTTGCGAAGGGAAGAGCTGCCGGTTTTGAGCTATGAGTGTCGGTTCAAAATGGCTGGCGAGGCGCTGACGCTGGAGGACAGCAGACGCAGACACCCTTCCCCTCGCCCTGCTGGCAGGAAGAAGTCTTCACTGGATCGGGTGTATTTACTGAGCAAGGTGCTTCTGTGATTGACATATGGGAATCTGGAATCTGTTAAAATCTGCCACCAGCTCGCTGTGGGACTCCACGCAAGTGCCTTTCTTCGCCAGACCTGCTCCCCTGCCCCTAAGTGAGAGTACAGGCAAGGGGCCACATGGGAGGGTTGTGGCTCAGCAGAATTTCTCTCCCTGATGTTGAAATTTAGTTGATGCAAATTGAAGCTGCTCAACACTGCTGTCAGCCCACGGGAAGGCAGGTTGTTGATGACTGCCCAGCAGTGTAGGTACGTCTCTCTAAAGTAGCAGTGCTAACATCAAGTCAGGCTGGTGGACGACCGGACTGCCGAACGGTGTCCCACCTTCAGCCCTTGCTGTCTGCTGGTGCTGCAGAGGATCCCCTCTGTGCTGTCCTCGCCTTGAGCAGGGCACTGACAGCTCAGCCTCGGCTGTGCCTTCTGAGCCAAAGGGGGTTAGTAGGTGTCTTCAAACCTGAAATCTGAATGTCTCTGGGCTTGGTGAGCCTCACCTGCTCCACGCTGGTAATTGTGCACCTCTTTGCATGATCCCGCTCTTGCGTGTCCTTCTAGGATGGCAAGCATCCCATCAGGTGAACTCTTAGTAAAAAAAAAACAAGAGGACAGATTTGTATTGAAACCAATAAACCAGAAAGTTTATGGAAATTGATTTTTTTGTGATTGTTGCTCTGTGTGATGTACAGAGGGAGCAGCACACTGAAGAGTGGGGAGAAGGAATGCATGCTGGTTGTCCTTGGAGAACAATGTGCTGGTGTTAGTGACAATGGGAAAACAACGTGAAGAAGGCTTCTTGCAAAAGAACAGTGACCTCCGTGCTCGGAGCAGGCTGTACGCTAGGAAAGGCTTGGATAAAAGCAGACTGTATCATGGTCACTGGCTGACCTAAGGAGATCCCTTGCTAGGTCTGAGGCATATTAATGCCTGTGGGGAAAGTCAAATCCCATGGTGTAAAATGGATATTTACATCTGTCAGAGGCTGAAACACGGAAAAGAGCTGAACCTATCTCTTGAGGTTGTTGTCAGGAGAGCTCTGGTTCTGGAACAGAGGAAGCCTTCTCTTTTTCTTCCCTGACTTGTACAGCTCAGATGTACGTGAAAACAAACAGAATTTTTAAGAGCATCCCAGCTTCACTTCCTCATGAAGGATTTAATCTTTGTCATTCCCAGCCAGGATTATGTATTCAGCATGTGAGCTGTCAGTCTGGGCGTTGGAGAAAGGATAAATTCCAGAAGGGGTTTATAAGGAGGGAAGTACAAGCAGCCTTAGCGTGCAAGTGTAGAATTAGATAGTCCACCAAAAAATTAGGCTTCAGAGATGCTTACATACTACATGGTCAGTGCTACAACCAAAATTTTACAACTCACAGGTTCTGGTAGAGCTGTGTGTGGAGAGGAATTGAAATGCATGTGCATTGCATTTGTTCTAAAGAGAAAACCTTAAATTGAGGCTTTCTTCTTGGCCATGGAAGGCTGGAAGCGTTGGCTGTTGACTGGGGGTCAGCCCCGGTTCACAGGCTCTTGCAGACCTGCCCCGGTTCTTCACGTGTGCTCTCTCTGTAACAGCGTGCTGCCTGGTGCCTCGCCGAGGGGGATGGGGCAGGGCTGCCCGTGCTGAGCGGTGTTCGGTGATGGAGCCTGGTGGCTGCCGTGGTGCCGCTGGTGAGGGAGGCTGGTCCGGCCGGGCTGGTGTGCCACGGCTGCCTTCACTGAGGCTGTGCCAGCAGACGGCTTTGCTGGTGGGCACTGACTTCTGAGGGGGGAGGAGCTGCCGGTTC